CCCCCCTCCCCTTTTCTACTTATTCTCTGTAACTGAACTGCAGAGCTCATGGAAAATTCTAAAACGACTGCGATCGTGATAAATTACCAATATTTTATATTTTGACTAATCTAAAATCGAAGAGTAGTTTTTTGTACACCACATTGTGCTCCCAAAAAAAAAAACATTTAAATTGAGCACAGGCTTCTCAATCGTTTTGTAGTTACGTGACTTTTTTAACCTGTAAAAAACAATGATGATTTTATTAATGAATTTGTATAACTTACCCGCTCTTTTATAAGCTTATTGCAGACGATTATGGCGGTTTTGATGGGATTCGAATCCATTATCTGATCAAATATCAACAATTTCAGTTAAAAGAACACATGCTATAGTCAAAGAGAATAGAAAATATATTAGAATGGAATTTACTAGAAAAAAGTGTAAAACGGCCATTTTGTTGTACTGTTTCCATACTGCAGGTGTACTTCACATATTTGTGCTATAAAACCTTTTGGACTCTGGAACATCATTTTATAGAAAATCTAAAATTAATATTGAAAGAAAAAAACCGATGATTTTCCGTTAAAAATATAAATCAAATGATGTTTTTTATTCACCTAATTCATTTTATAAAGTTTATTTAACAGCTTTAAAAAATTCGAAATTGAAATGCATAGTCTAGGGAACATACTGTATTAATGTACTCTTCTGTATATAATTTGTGAACATTTACATGATTTGTACACTTTGAACTCCTTTTCAAGCTTAGAGGGACTGACAAAATACTGATACAGAGGGATTGTCTAAATTCAACTCTAATATATATTCTATTCTCTTTGACTATAGTTGTATTTATTCCGGAAAGGAGAAGGAGAGGGGGGGGGGGCGCAGGGGACACCTTCTGCCAGTCTTCAGCTTAAAGGGAATGTTCTTAAAGTCTTATTAGACCCTCCATTTAACAAGTTATAAGGTCAATTCACCCCATGAGGAAAAATGAAGAAGATATTATTGAATTATTTTTATATACAGGGTGAGTAAAAAAAAAAGTGTGATTTGCGGCGCCTGGTGCAAAATTGTACCTTTTTTTGTGCAACTCTCCTGTATGGTGTCTTTTCAATATTTTTTGAAAATTTGAAATTTTTTTTGGTACTCCAATGGCCCAAAAGAAAATCTGCGAATCTTTTTTTTCTATCAAAATCAAAAGTTCATATTATTTCTCTCTAAATCTAAAATTTTATTAACATTGAATCACAGAATCAAAGAAAATTGGCAAAATTGTAATAATAAAATTCGGAATTTTCAGTTCTTGGCTAATTTTAAGGAAAATTTATTTACATTCTCTAGTTCCTTTCTTCTTAGTATATTCTAAAGTATTAAATATACGCTGTTTAGTTGAAACCTTGAGAACCATTGAAAAACAATTTTTCCGTGAAAATTATACCTCAATTCACCCCATGAGGAAAAATGAAGAAGATATTATTGAATTATTTTTATATACAGGGTGAGTCAAAAAAAGTGTGATTTGCGGCGCCTGGTGCAAAATTGTACCTTTTTTGCGCAAGTCTACTGTATGGTGTCTTTTCAATATTTTTTGAAAATTTTAATTTTTTTTTGTACTCCAATGGCCCAAAAGAAAATCCACGAATCTTTTTTTTCTATCAAAATCAAAAGTTCAGAAAATTTAAAATGTGCATTCATATTATTTCTCTCTAAATCTAAAATTTTATTAACATTGAATCACAAAATCAAAGAAAATTGGCAAAATTGTAATAATAAAATTCGCAATTTTCAGTTCTGGGCTAATTTTAAGGAAAATTTATTTACATTCTCTAGTTCCTTTCTTCTTAGTATATTCTAAAGTATTAAATGTACGCTGTTTAGTTGAAACCTTGAGAACCATTGAAAAACAATTTTTCCGTAAAAATTATACCAGAACTGAAAATTACGAATTTTCCGATTACAATTTTGCAAATTTTTCTGTTTTTCTGTGATTCAATCTTTTTAAAATTTTAAATTTCGATAGAAACAATTTATTTACACATTTTTGTTTTTCTGAACTTTTGATTTTGAAAGAAAAAAATACAAATTTTCAAAAAATATTTAAAAAAAAACACCATACAGAAGAGTTGCACAAAAAAAGTTACATTTTTGCACCAGGCTCCGCAAATCATACTTTATCACGCTTTAATTTTCTTAAATAATGCTAATATGAAACTTTGCATGAATAAAAACCAAAGTTCTTTAATTATTCTGTGCGATTGGCTTTAAGCCTAATAATCTAATACGATCTGGAAATGGGATGCTCTGACATGGTGTTTGCTATTTGCACTGTTACAAATTCAGGCAATTTTGTCGTGCAGGAAAAAAAATTGAAATTGTTTTTATTTTTCCTGTGTAGAATCATAGAGGCTCACATTCTCAGGTAGATAGAGGTGTTGGTAATCAATATGCTGAAAATATTATCAATAGAGAAATAAAACTGAAGAGTTAATCTAGTAATCTATCTCATAATCCCCTTAGATGTAGGGCTGGGCACTATCCTTTTCTTTCCGTTCTTTAACGCGGTTAGATAAATAAACAGATTTATTTCATGTGAAATCTAGGAAAACCATCTCCGAATCTACATTTTTGGTTGGTCGTGCTGCATCTGCTCTGTTTGTTTATTGTGCACACCTGAGGAGGTTATGAAATAATCTTTATTTTTCATTTCCTGTACTAGAGATGTCAACGTTTTGATTTTTTTAAATTTTAGCTTTCGTTACGATAGTGTTCATCAAAAGTATTAACGTTTAAAACGTTACGTTGCACATTATGAAATTTTATGGCATATTGTAACGTTACGTAATGAATTTTCTGCACTTGAATACCTTATACAACGTTAAGCTTTAGTAAATGTTAGCCAAAAAACAGTAAGCTCCGTTACGCTTTTGCATTTGATGTTTTAAAAACCTTTCCCAACGTTGCGTTAAAGCTTATGTAATATAACCACAATTTTTTAACGTTCCACTTTCATGCAAGGTAAATATTTTCAGAGACCTTACGTTACACTTTCACTTGGTTTAAGATCTAAGAGATGACAAACGTTTTGCTTTAATAAAACGTCATTGGGGCATAGTTCTGTACGTTACAATGCATTTCAGTGCAAAGAATATTTTTT